GGGTTACCAAGATAAAGAAAAAAGAAGTATGGAAAGACCGCTTCTGGCTTTGTTTCCAGTCCCCATCACTCAGTCCTCCCCACGGGAGAAAGAATGACTCACCTGCTTGACGAATTTGGGAAAGGAAACGGAGCCTGGGAGGCCCAGCAGGCTCTGGGCTCTTGCCTTCCCCAGAAGATAGGTCTGAAGTTGTAAGTAAGATGGCAACTGGGGGCTGGGAGAGGAAGAGCAGAGTGTCAATGATCTGCCCTCAAACCTCAATGTGTTGTTGCGTGGTCTTTTGTGACTGGTTTCTTTTACTTACACTGTTTTCAAGGTTCATCCATATTGTAGCACACATCCGTTTCTTATTCTTTCTTATGGTGCACTACTTTCCACTGAAAGGATATGCATGTTTTCTTTACAGACATTTGGATTGTATCCACCTTCGACTATTATAAATAATGCTACTATGAACACTCATGGCCAAGCTTTTGTGTGGATATGTTTTCAATTCTTGTGGTTATATACCTACCAGTGACATTGTCAAAGAGTATCTTCATGTTTAACTTTCTGAGAAAATTCCAGCCTGTTTTTCAAGGCACATGCTCCATTTTACATTCCAACCAGAGGTGTATGAGGGTTCTGATTTCTCCACAACACTTGTTATTATTTGATTATAGTCATCCTACTGGTTGTGAAGTTGTATCTCATTGAGATTAAGATTTTCATTTTTCCAATGGATAATAATGTTGAAGATCTTTTGATGTGTTTGTTGTCCATTTGTACATTTTTCTTTATTTCTTCCCTCTGCACACACAACTGGCTTCAATCCTATTTCAATCATACTGGTTGACCTTATATTTGTAACGTTAACTTGAGACTTTAAGTAAAACATAGTTCTTAGCCTTCCCCCAAACACAAAGATCTTAAAACTAATTACTACTTCATCCCATCTTAACTGTTACCTACTATTTTATTCCAACTTTATTTTTATACTTTCTAAGTTTGTCATTATCATTTTATAATGTCACTACTTACTTAGTAATTCATGTAAACACATTCACCATTTACACTGCTTGCCACTGTTGACTGCATCTCTCTCTTTCCTTCTAAGTTCAATGATCTTCTTCCTAAAGAACATGCTTGAGGGTCTTTTACAATAAGACCCTATGAGTAACTACTTTTATTCCTTTGATTTAAAAAATTATCTTATTCTTGAATGATAGCTTTTTTGTATAATATCTGAGTTACTTTGCTTTAATATTTTGAAATAGGATTCTTAGATTCCACATATGAGTGAAATCATATGATATTTGTCTTTTTCTCACTTGCTTGTTTCACTTAGCAAAGTTCCCCAGGTCCATCCATACTATCACAAAGGGTAAAATTTTCTTTTTTATGGCAGAGTAAAAAAGTCTTTTTTACGGCCTTTTTACCGTCTTTTTTATGGCCAGGTCCATTGTGTAAATGTCCCGTAGTTGTTTCATCTCCTCATCCACCGATGGACACTTGGGCTGCTTCCACATGTTGACAAGTGTACATAATGCTTCAATGAATATAGGGGTGTTTATGTTTTTTTGGATTAGTGTTGGGGATTCCTTCATGTATGTTCCCAGAAGTGGGATAGCTGGATTGAAAGGCAGATCCATTTTTAAATTTTTGAGGTATGTGCATACTGGTTTCCACAGAGGCTGCACCAGCCTGCACCCCCACCAATATCAAAAGGTTTCCCCTTTCTCCACATCCTCACCAGCACTTATTTGTGATCATATTCCATTATGGTTTTAATTCACAATTCCCTGATTATTAATGTGATTGGTCAATTTTTGTATGTTTGTTGATAATCTTAAGTATTTCTTTGGAGAAGTGCCAGTTCAAGTCTTTGGCCTATTTTTCTACTGAGTTGTGTTTTTGGTTTTATTCATTAATTTGCATGATTCCAATCCTTTATTGGTTATATGTGTAGCAAATACTTTTCCCAGTCTATGTGCTGAATTCCATTCTATAGTGTCTTTTTTCATGAAGACAAGTTTTTAGTTTTAATGTTGCAGAATGTATTGATATTTTCCTCTAATTGCTTTTTATATCTTGACAAAGAAAAATCGTCCCTACCATTATTAGTTCAGGAGGTATCCTGTCTCACCTTCTAGAAGATACAGGAGAAAATAATCTCTTATGTTACCGTTTATTATTTTTTTAAGATTTAAAGGTTTTTATTTATTTATTTTTGGAAAGAGGGAGAAGGGAGGGAGAAAGGGGGAGAGAAATATCAATGTGTGGTTGCCTCTCATGTGGCCCCCAGTGGGGACCTAGCCTGCAACCCAGGCATGTATCCTGACTGGGAATCGAACTGGCAATGCTTTCGTTCGCAGCCCACACTCAACCCACTGAGCTACACCAGCCAGGGCTTATGTTACCTTTCAGAAGGGTTATACTTTTGACTTTCACATTAGGGCTTTAAACCACATGGAATTTATTTTTTTATTTTATTTATATTTTTTATTCACTAATAAAGTTTATTTGTTTTCCCTGATTGATTTAAAATCTTTTCATATTGTTTGATTCTCTTTTCTGCAGTTAAACTAGAAAGTCATAGTTTTTCTCCTAAAAACCATAATGACGTTCTATCTTATCAAATGCCCTCCCGGATTTTCTTGTCAGCCTGCTTCAGGGAAATCCACGTGTTCAATATACTTGCTCACAGTTTGGCCCACACCAAATAGTTGCTTAATCAATTTCTCAGCCACAAACTGAGCTGACATAGATCTGTCTGGGGAAAGTATGATTAAACAGCCAAGACTACTGGGTAGTCGAAGAGAAGACCACATATCTTGAGCGCCCCCAGTCTGGAGTGAAAGGAGGACAGCTGATAATTGGATACACAGTGTGACCAGACATCACTGGTCCCAAACCATTGCTCCTGCCGGCCCCAGCTGCAAATACAGTAGGAATGCCATTTCCTTCATATTCTGCTTTAATCCTCAGAGTTTCTTCTGGTCCTTTATGGGCAGAGGGTACCCGAAGTTCACATGGAATGCCAAAATTCTCACAAACGGTCTTGATTTTTCCACAATGACCAAGATCAGAAGCCGAGCCCATCAACACTCCAACCCTGCACTGACTTTCTGGTTTCAGAAGCAACTCCTGCACCTTCGGCAACCCACCCACAATTTCTCTTTCCCATCTGGAGCCTTTCAGAAATTACTTCCTTGAGGTCATGATAGGACTATTGTCTTTCCGTTGGCTTCTATCTCCTGATGGCCAGAGTCTCCAGGAGTCATTATCAATAATATCAGCAAGAACAATTTCTTTGGTGGTGACATCAACACAAAATCCAGTCTTTTTATCAACCAGCGTGCAGTGCAACTGGGATTTCTCCAGGACCTCAGACACAGCCTGTATAGCAGGACTTATGATGTAGGACTCAGGACTCTGGCCCTGTAACAAGTCCAGCAGAGCAAAATTTTGCAGCAGTGAGTTGTTCCTCAGGCCACTGTGGATCATTACAGCATCATCCTTAAGAAACATCTCCAGTTTAGGAGAGTAAAATTTGTACCCTTCCTTGACACCGGGATGTCTTTTGAGAAAAGAACTAGTTGCTATTCCTCTACAAACCCGTCCAGTTGGAATCACTTAACCCTTAGATGCAATGAAAGCTGTCTCCCCACATTTTCTGGTGAAAGCAGTTTCAATACCTGCTTCCTGTAACAACTGAAAAATACAACTAGTAACTTTCGTTGAGATTGCAGCTTTTCCTTCCAGGGGATTCTTTCTGGCTGCATTTCCTGCTGTAATCTGGTCCTTGGGCTGCAGGAGGACTTTTCCAGGACTATCTACCAATTCGTAGGCTTTTTTAAACATTTGTTTATTTATTTATGTGTTTACTTATTTATTTATTTCTAGAGAGAGGGGAAGGGAGGGAGAAAGAGAGGGAGACAAACATAGATATGACAAACATCAATTGGTTGCCTCTCGCATTTGCCTCAACCAGGGAATCCGCAACCCAGGCACATGCCCTGACCAGGAATCCAACAAGTGACCCTTTGCTTTTTGGGATGTTGCCCAACCAACTAAGCTACGCCAGTCAGGGTCAGTTCATAGACTTCTTTCATTTTACACTCATAGAGCTTTTTTTTACTAATGTTCAGTACCTCAGCTGTCACCTTCATCGTGGGTGGGCTGGGGGTAGCAGCCAATCTAGGAAGAGATGCAGGACTCTGACAAAGAGGAGTGGTCAGAGTGGAATTTGTTTTTATAAATGGAGTGAGGGAGGGATTCCATTTCTTTCTCTTTGTCTCCCTTTCCTTCCCCCACTCCTCTATCTCTGATTAACTCATTTGACCTAGTCCCATTTATGCTAACGTTTGTTCTTCTCCTACTGATGTGTCATGCAACCTCACTCATCTATCAAGTGTTTGTGGGCATGAGGGTCTGTTTCTGAACTCTCTGTCATCTCCTGTGGTCTATTTGTTTCCCTCTACAGCCATCTCCATGCCACACTGACATAATTACTATTGCTCTGTGTTAGTCCATTTTTTCTTTTATTAAAATTTATTTCTAACTATACTTGACATGACATATTAGTTTCAGGTGTACAGAATAGTGAATAGACATTTACATACCTTGCAAAATGAGCACCACAGGCCTCACACTGTATTAGTCTCCCCATCTCAGAGAGCGAGTCCTCCACTCGTGCTCATCTCCAAGACCGCCTTGGCCATCTTCAACTCCTCCTATTTCCATGTAAATTTTAGAATCAACTTAAGTCCCACAAAAACTTGGGGTTTATTTTGGATCTCATTTAATCCATAAGTCAGTTTGAGGATAATGATCATCTTAACCACACTCAGTCTTCCAATCTCTGAGCTTAGTATCTGTCTCCCTGAAATATCTTCCTTAATATCAGTAACAGTTTATTTTCCTTGAAGAAAGCTTACATATCTTATATTAGATTTGTTCCTAGACACATACTATTTTATACCATTGACAAAGGTACCTTTTAAATATTTACTTTCTGTAGGTCATTTCAGAGGGAGCTTAGAGGACCAACACCAGGAACTCTTATTGCTATGACCTAAGAGTGAAGTTCTCCATAGAATGTAATACACACTCGATAGTGCTATGTTTTCCTGAGAAGATAGAAGATTTAAAAAGAAACATTTACTTTCTATTTGTTCCTGGGAAGTAGAAATAATCAATATTTATGAATGAATTTTTGTATCCAGCAACCTTACCAAATTCTCCTATTCATTCTAATAGCTTTTCTATTGGCTCTATTGGAGTTTCATATTATCTTCAAATGACAGTTTGTTTCTGTGCTGTCCTTAGGTTTTTTATTTCTTTTTCCTATATATTGAACTGGCTAGGGCTTTCAGTAAGGCGCTGACTCCAGAGTGACTGAATTTTAGATTCATAGTTTGAAGTGCCGTCAATGGGATTTGCTGACAAACTGCGTTTAGACTGTGACAGGGATGAAGGTTGAGTTTAAGGTTGTTAGTCTGACCTACTGGAAGGATGGCATTGTCATTGATTGCACACAAGGCCAGAGGTTTGCTGAGCATGTAGGGAAGGCAATTCAATAAAGAAAAGCAAAAACTGATGCTTATTGGCAATGAATGCTCCAACAGACTTTAGGCTGGTTTTCCACTTTTGAAATAACTCCCTCAAGGAAAGATTTCAACATATACCAGTGCTCTCAGTGGGGTTTGACTTGTGACTTCCTGTTCAACCACTGCCCTCTGCAGGGACTTCTCACAGAGCTGTGCACCAAATCTGACCCAAAAATTAGGATAATCTTTCCCTCCAGCTCCAATCTTTCTTGTCTACACACACACACACACACACACACACACACACACACCTGCCTGTCGTCTTCTGCAATCTTTCCCCAGGTCAGATAACTATAAGAGAACCTCTCACCCAGAAAACATGGTTCCTGCAAGGACATGCTAGAAAGGCCAGCTGCATTTCTGCAGGGTTAACCTAAGAACAAGGAAGAAACAACAAAGGGGTGACCATTGCAAAAGAGATTCTTGGTCATACAAAAAGGCCTTTTTTCCTAGATAGTTCCTGAGTTTCACTGTGTCTTCCCAGGTATCAGTAAAGCCTTAGGTGATCTTGCACAAAAAAGTGACACTCTAAACAGGTGGCACACTTAACAGTTCAAATCACTCAGTTCCTTGAGGTTACTCAACACAGCTGGAGGGTTATGTCATTAGGGCAGAGGTGTCAAACTCATTTTCACCAGGGGCTGCATCAGCCTCAACGTTGCTTTCAGAGGGCCAAAATAATTTTAGGACTGTATCAATGTAACTACTCTACAACTGTTAAGGAGTTGAAATTACATTCGGCCCTTTGAAGGCAACCAGAGGGCTGATGTGGCCCCCGGTAAAAATGAGTTTGACGACCCTGCATTAGGATAAGGGTGACAGTCCACCACCTCTCACCTGTCCACCCCTCACCTGCCACCCACTCTCAATAAGGGAAGCCCCAAAAAGGAAGCAACACTGTCCTATAAACCTCAGCGACTACCATGTAATAGGCATACGATCATAGTTTTGGGAATTGACATTTTAAAGCCTTTTTAAAAAATCACCTGAGTTAAATTGATTGCAACTTAAAGTTAATATTATTCAAAATAGATGAGTCAAGAAATAGCATTATCACTACGGGAGGCTAATATCAGAAGAAACAGAAAGGAAGTTACAAACTTTCCCTCTAAAGAGTGGAATTCTAGTAGGGAGAGGACCTATGTTTTTAAAATACGATTTTCACCGTTTTCATTTTTGTGCCAATTGAAATTGACTTGATGATTTTCTACATGTTTAGGTTATACACATTCCCAACATCCTATTCATTTTTCGTATGGCGTGCCTTTGTCATCCACACATACACACATTCGTATTAACAGACTTGTTTGCAACCATAGCTATGTACTTTATAGTCAGCATTTTTTTCACGAAACCTATGATGTTAGTTGTCATAAACAGCTTTCCGAGCTTCTACAGTCTTCCTAATTATCACGTTAATGGCTCTATGTTATTCCAATGCGATACTGTACCATAATGTAGCTAAATGCCCTAAGATGGAACTTTGAAGGTTGTTTCCCTTGGAAAAGAAAAATGCCGCGATGAAGACTGGAAGGCACACGGTCTCGTTAGTTTTGCTTCTTTGAATCCTATTCTGGGGTTCCATCTAGGAATCCCACAGTGAGACTAGGGACAGAAAGCGACGGACGAGCCCCTGAGAAAGCCGGTCCCGGGATCCCCATGGGCACAGGAGGCGTCCCCGCAGGCTTGGGCAAGTCCGGGGTGGGGTGTGGGGGGGGCGGGGGCGGAGCCCGTCTCCACCCCACGCTGCGTCACCGACGTCCCGCCTGCCTAACACCGCTGCGCGGCGTACGGAAGGCCAGTCCTGCGCCGGCAGGCGGTGCAAGCCCTGGGAGCGCGGTGGGGCCGGTCCGCCATGGCTCTGTGGGCTGAGGTTGCGCGGTCCGTGCTGAACCCCCTACGCGCTGTGTGGCTCACACTGACTGCCGCCTTCCTGCTGAGCCTGCTGCTGCAGCTTGTGCCGCCTAGCTTGCTCCCCAGCTCTGCGCTCTTCCAGGACCTGATCCGCTATGGGAAAACCAAGTATGGAGGGCCACAGCGCCCGGCACTGTGCCGGTTCTTTGACGTCCCCAAGAGGTAACTGCTGCCGGGGTGTGAGTCCCGGTTGCCAGGGCGAGGATAGCCCGGGGCGCCCGGCATGTGCAGCCGGCAGAGGGCAGCAGAGGCGGGCACGGGGTGCACGCAACCGGCCTATCCCGCCCAAGCGGGTTCTTCCACCCGGGGGTGCTACCTTGGCCGCTTTGGCGTGCACTGGCCGCGTTGCCACGCACTACCCGCGTGTGCTTCGTGGCTGTGGGGGCCGAGTGCACATCTAAGAGCTGAGCCGTGCGCACTATCAAGCGCGCTGGAACGTGAACTTGTGACCATAAGGCATCCTTCCCTTGGCGGAAATGGCAGTTTCTGAATTTAGGTCAAGTCTCCTGGCGGCAAATTCAAGTTTCCGTTGTCTCCCAATTCTACCCGCCCCCTTCGCCGCACTCTGGGGGCTCATAATCTAACTCGAGAGAGCCAGAATTCACAGAAATAAAGTCAGGCCTGTCATTTGCGTCTCTGTTTCCCTTATTTGTCTCCCAGATCCATAACCTTCCCAGTCAGGAGAAAGGGCAAGATGCTAGTCCCCACATTTGGCCCCACCTTTTCTGCTGCACTGACCCTCCTAAAGATCTCAGCAGATGACCCTGGTGAATATTGCTGATGATGCACTTATTAGGCAAGTTTGATCCCGAAGCTCATTTGCCTTTTAACAGATCTCAACCAAACCCAGCGAAAGAGTAAATCTTTAAGGCTTAAACCGAATTCTTTCAGAAATTGTAAGAGTCGTTACAGTTTGGTTTGGGGAATTTCATTTTTTTTACTAGAATTCAGAACATAGCTGATAAGAGTCAGCCAACATTTCTAGATGGTAGGAATATAGCAGTGGCTTTTATTTTTTAATCTTGAAGACACATCTTAAAGTGGTATTTAGGAAGGAATCTGGAGGAAATGTACACGGTTTCTCATGTATTAAAGTACCCTGGTTATCGCTGAATCCTCTACTAGGCCGTTCCTGAGGTCCGAAGAAAGTGCAAATTGGCTTCTGAGACAAAGGTAAAGCCCCTACTTTTGAGTGTGGGAGAAAGAGTCATGAGGCGTTACCCTGGGAAGGGAGAACGCCATCATTCTGAGGCACCGTAAAGGGAATGAGGCCCTAGGAAAGAGTATTCAAGACAAGTTGGTTAAACCTCCTAGTTCTTAAAGGCTCTTTTGGAGTGAAAATTACCTGTTATCCTGTCCTTTTCTACTTTCTAGCAGAGCATTGCTAGATTGTCATTTTTTAATGTTTTAATAAGTGAAGGAACATGGTTTCTTAGTGTGAATTCCGACAATTCCTGTAGTTACCTGTTTCTCTGCCCCCCATTCCCCAGCTGCTGCTGCTGCTGGGGTCTGCCCTTCTGTGACAGCCAAGACAGAGAGTGCACCTCCCCCTCCGTGATTACTGCAGCAGTCAGTACTCCTTGAGCTCCTCCTAACTTCTACTAGATTCTTAAATAATTTCCTCCTTTTCTCCCAGAATTGTAGAGTGGAATTTTGTTTTGGTTTTTCTAATTTTAAGCAAACATTTCTTTTTAGAATGGTGTTTTGTTTTGCTTTCTCTCTAAATTTAAACAAACATTTGTTTTCACTTACAGCAAATCCAGGCCAATCATGAAGGGCAAAAATGCCTAGGTATTATATTATATTTAAACATTTTTCCTTGTGCAGAATTCAATACTACTCTTAAAAATGAAAATAAACCTATAATTTTACACTTAGAAATGGGCAGCTGTAAATCAGGTTTCTGCACCTAAAAAAGAATGTTTAGGTAATTTTGTTTGGGTGTTTTTCCCCTCACTAAGAAGGCAAGAATAAAACCTTAAATCAGTTCATGGAATGTATGTTTGACCATTACCCCGTCTGCTAGAATTTTTTTTTAATTAAGGTGATGGAGGGTTTTTGTTTTGTTTTGTTTTGTTTTGTTTTCTTATTGCTTCCTAGGATTTTGATCCCAGAACATCTGAGTAAATATGTAACCTCAAACATGAGTCACTGTGCTCTTGCCTGGCATGGTGTATGGACGTATTCCTATTCTAAAATTTCAAAATGCTGCGGAAACATTGCGATTGAATTGTGCTCCGGAGGCAAAGAGAGCAGTTCAGACTTTCCCCACTGGGGCGAGGGTTTCTAACCAGTGGTCCAGTGGGTCGGTGGATAGCATTTCGGGCAAACTCAAATTAGGAAAAAAGTACATCTTTATTTTGCAAACCCCTAACTGAAATTCAGAATTTCCTTAATGATGAGCATAGTCAGCAAACCACAGTACAATTAGCAGGAACTTCAATATTCTTTTTTAAAATATTAATTGTGTTGGCCAAAGAGTTTGTTTTTTCTGTAAGATAGCTTTAGTAACGCTTAGCTGTCTAACTTCATTCTAAACAATTTTGTTAGATTGTATTGTGACAGCTGTCTTATCAGCATGCATTTAAAAAAAACTTACCAAAATTGGTGAATTTTTGTGTAGCCATTTTAATATCAAGGAAAATATGCAACATTTTCAGCGTATTTTGCTTTATTATTTCAAGAAAGGTAAAAACACAACTGAAACGCAAAAAAAGATTTGTTCAGTGTCTGGAGAAGGTGCTGTGACTGATCAAACATGTCAAAGACAGTTTGCAAAGTTTGGTGCTGGTGATTTCTCACTGGATGGTGCTTCACGGTCAGATAGACCAGTTGAAGTTGATAACAATCAAATGGAGACATTAATTGAGAACAATCAATATTATACCACACAGGAAATAGCCAATATACTCAAAAATATTTAAATCAATAAAATTATGGGTGAAAATGAAAAAACGTGTCTTTTATTTTATAAAAACAGCCATTTGGACTTTTTGGCCAACCAAATACAGTAAAAATCCTGGAGACCTCAACCAAACATTTTCATCACTGCAAGAATACTATGGTTATTCCATAGGTCTTGTTATTTCAGGCATTAATTAAGAAACACATGTATAACTATATCACAGAGTTGTTTTTAGTGGTGGTGTTACCTATATTTCAGTACAATTGTTTCCCTTCCTGAAGGAGCCTGCAGCTGTCCCCATGTTGCCGAAGGGGTCAGAGCACGGAAGAAAAATGGTGACCCCTGCTCTGGACCGTACTCTTCTCATACATTAAATTCGTCTTGTGTTAACCGTATTCCTGGGTCAACGGCTGACAAATAATAAGGTCCTTGATCAATATTTTTTCAAAGAAATTTTTAGAAAGGTTTTAGCTTTAATTGGCTTATTAGCTGACTTCAGTGCTTGCTCTGAAGGTCACTGTAGAGATATGCCTTCTCTTTCACTCACCTTTAACTCGTGTTCATAGGTACTGCTCTGTGCCAGGAGTCCATCTAGGCTCCTTGGAGCTTTTGTTTTTGTAAGACAAACAGTAAATATGTAAACAACCCTTGTAAAACAAGCAAAAGAATTTCAGATACTGGTAAGTGCTTCCAAGGAAATCCAGCAGGGTTCCTTGATCAGGAGCAAGACTAGTGACCCTGGCTGTGACCCAGCTGGGAAGGATGGGCAGGGGAAGGGTTGGGTAGGAGAGGAGTTCCCTGCTCATCAGAGCATTACAAGCCTTGATGGAGATTAGATTTTATTCTGAGTGTCTGGAAAGGCATTTATGGCTTCAGGGTGGGGAAGAGAGCATTATGCAATTTATGTTGGTTTTTTTAATCCACTCACCTTTGTTATCCAGCCCTCAAACCCCCACTCCCCTCTGACAGCTGTCAGTCTATGTCTCTCTGAGTCTCCTTGTTAGTTGATGCATGAACTTTTGAAGAAACTACACTCTTGAGCCTGGAGAAGATCGGAATTAGGAATAACGGTATGGCTCAGAGACGGCAGGTCCAGCGATGGAGTTTATAATGGCAGCTGGGAGAATTCAGTGGGTTACTATGGAATGTCCAGGTTAGATCAGTGTTAGACTGGGTTGTGGACGTGGTCTGGGGTGCTCTGAGTTCTGGTACAAGAGTACTCTGGATCATCTGGAAGAGGAGACCCAGAGTTTATATTTAATCCTCCTGCCTCCAGGACATCTTACTTTGTCACAGTCTAGTGAGACCAGGGGTTGGCTTAATATGTGTGTGATGCACTGAAGAGCAGGAAAAGCCCAATGGCCTCCAGGCACTTTGCAAAGTCAGAATGATTCTGAATTGGTTGGAATAGAGAAAAACAGTGACCCACACGTGAACTTGTGTACCCTGTTAGGTGATTTTTCAGCAAACCAACATCTTTCACATCAAAGTAACATTGCTAATTGCAATTGCCAGTGGTTTTGTGGTTTTATTTGTACTTCATTTGTAAGTGTGTTGATTGCAAAGTAGGCATTGTACTTGTATGAGAGCTGAAAGCAGCAGGAGTTGATAACCTAGTTTTATGAGTTAATATTTGTCATCTAAGTAATTTAGGTCAACGCTGGGAAAACCCCAAATTAGAAGACCTGTAGGTTTCCTACAGCCCTGAGAGCCGGGAATTGTGCTCGCCTTGTGTAACAGCTGCGCGCTCTTGCAGCCATACCGCTCCACATCTTGGGGTCTCCCACAGACCGGGCTCATGTTAGCAGTCGGGGATCTCTCTGCCCGTGCCTGGAGCCCCCTTTTTTGGAACCTGAGCCCAACCCAGTTACCCAGAAATTAGAGAGATTGCTCCTTGTACTTCTGGCTAAGTTTAACAGGGTCAGTCGTGTTCTTGTTAACTTCAGGAGGCCTATTTTTCCTATGAGTTAACCAGTCCCATCATTTTAAAGGAAAATTTGAAATGTGAACACCTGTAGAATTCAGGGTCTGTTAAGAAGCATGACTAGACTTGGGGATGGGAAAAGAGGAGAAGGACACCCAAAAGTTGTCTGTCTGCATAATAAGTGGCCCGGCCCTGATGGTGGCCTACCTTGCTTTCCCTGCGCAGGTACTTTTCTCACTTCTACATCATTTCCGTGGTGTGGAACGGCTTCCTGCTGTGGTGCCTGACGCGGTCTCTGTTCCTAGGAGCGCCTTTTCCACACTGGCTCCATGGGCTACTCAGAATTCTCGAGGCTGCGCAGGTCCAAGGTAATGACAGCATTGTGTCCCATTCCTGCCTTTCTTGCCTGCAAGAAGCTGTTCTCGCTATTTCCCAGCCACTCTCAGGCTCCTCCCTGCAGGTGAGAGGGAGAGGAGTGCTGCACAGGTCCTAGCCTCCCCGGGGGGACGTCCCCAAGTCTTTTTTTTCTTTCTTTTTTAAAAATTTTATTTTAATCAGTGTTCAAGTACAGTTTTCTCCCTTTTACTCCCATTCCAGCCCACCCATCCATCCCTCCCCACTTCCCTCCCATTATCACCCTCCCCCTAGTTTTTGTCCATGTGTCCTCCAAATTTGTTCCTGTAAACCCTTCCCATTCTCCCCTGAAATTCCCTCTTCTCTCCCCTCTGGTCACTGTCAGCCTGTCCTCTATTTCAGTGTGTTTGGTTATATTTTACTTGTTTGTTTATTTTGTTGTTTAGGTTCTTGTTAAAGGTGAGATCATATGGTATTTGTCTTTCACCACCTGGCTTATTTCACTCATCATAATGCTTTCCAGGTCCATCCATGCTGCTGCAAAGGGTAGGAGCTCCTTCTTTCTTTCTGCTGCATAGAATTCCATTGTGTAAATGTAGCAGACTGGTACAACACTATGGAAAACAGTATGGAGCTTCCTCAGAAAACTAAAAATGGATCTGCCTTTTGACCCAGCGATTCTACTGCTGGGACTACATCCTAAGAACCCTAAAACACCAACACAAAAGAACCTTTGTACCCCAATGTTCATAGCAGCACCATTTACAATAGCTAAGTGCTAGAAGCAACCAGATGCCCAGCAGTAAATGAATGGATCAAAAAACTATGGTACATTTGCACAGTGGAGTCCCCAAGTCTTTTACGGAGATCTGGGCAGAGCTAAGACTTAGCTGTTCCTTCCTGACTTCCCAGCAAGTGCTGGGCTGCACAGGGTCTGGCTGTGCTCCTTCTGACTTTTTTCACAGGGTGGATAAGTTTAGACTGAGGGGAAAAGCTTTGAGGATTCCCTCGTGTTTGCCTTGAAGCATTTATTGTATATATAGTGCAGCCAAAATCATGTCTCAGAACTCCAGAAATTGGATAAAAAATTACTTTTTGATCACCAGCTAAAAATCTTATGCCATAAGGCTTTAATTTTATGATAAAATTGACTTAATAGGTATCGACCAGTTGATTGCAAAACAGTTGTTAATTTTGTCTCAGATGAAGAACAATTTTAAAATAAGGAATTGAAGGTGAAAACAATAAAGTGGTCTCAGGTAATGTCAGGCAGCAGGTGAGGGGCAGAATGAAAACCAATCCAGTGCTCTCTCTGCCCTTTGTCCAGCGGCCAAACCAGTGGCTCCCCAGGAGCAGTGCTTTGCTCTGTAGCCAGAGGAGCCTGTTGCAAAAGATGAGGGTCCCATGGGAAAGCAGACACAAATCCTGTTTGGGAGGGGAGGCCTCCTCGGTGAATCCCACCTAACACATTCCAGCTTCATCTCTTCATTTGCTTTGCTTTGTGTTTCTGATGCTAATTTTTTAAAGCACTTTAAATTTTACTTTTCAGTTCTAGTTTACACTCATGATTATGTTGTATTAGTTTCAAGCATACAACATAGTGGTTAGACAATCATTTACTTCCCAGAGTGGTCCCCCTGATACTCCAGCACCCACCCGGCACCGCACGTGCTGACTACAGCATCGCTGACTGTGCTCCCTGTGCTGTCTGTTCCGTCCCCGTGGCTGTTCTGAAACTACCAATTTGTCGTTCCTCATCCCTCAACCTTTTTCACCCAGTCCCTCACCCACCAGTCTGCTCTCTGTATCTGTGAGTCTGTTTCAGTTTTATTTGTTCACCTATTTGGTTTGTGAGCTTCCACATATAAGTGAAATCATGTAAGTGGAGTGAGTCATCTCTCCGTTTGTTTTTGTGGGACTTGCTGAGGTGCTGGTATTTGGAGGGTTGGTTGTGAGTTTTGTTTGGTTATTTGTGTTCATCTGTTCCTAAAGAGTTCGAATTAGGTTTTACTATATTTAAAATACAAAGACAGGCAAAGCTAATGGAAGCTGTTGGGAGTCAGGACAGGGCTTACCTTTGGGAGGGTGGCAGGAGGGGCAGCACCTGGAAGGGAGCACAAGGCTGAGTTCTGCTTCTGGATCTGGGTGCTGGTTCCATGGGTGGGATGGGAGTTTTGGGTGGTAACAATTCAGTGAACTGTAGTCTTATCGTATCCTTATGAGGGGGGTGGGGTGTTATTCCCATTTTAAAAATCTAAGTTTTTTTATCATTTTAAAAACCAGCATGTCTTCTGACTTGGAGTGGAAGGTTAGAGGCAGGTAGGAAGGTAGATCTCAGGGATCCCAGTCCTTTAAAAGTATCGTTTCTTTTTTTTAACATGGAAAGGAGCGCACAATTCTCCCTGTCTCGGTTACTGTCCCCCTTTCTGTCTCTGGTTGCCTGTGTCTCTAGTCTCCCCTGACCCCCGGGATCCCACCAGGTACGGCTTCTGAGAGGTCATCCCGGAACCCTTCCTGACCACTGTCATTAGTATGAGTGCCAGGGACCAGAGACTCCCAGACCCTGGGAGTGACGGACCTCCCAGTCAAGTCTGTGCAGCCCGGGAGAGACCCCACTCTGTCCCAGCTCTGTCACCAGCTTACGTGCAACCTTGAGCCAGACTGTTTACTCCACTTGGCCCACTTTCCCACTGCTAAAAAAAAAAAAAAAGAAAGTGTCAGACTAGATGATTTCTAGGGCCCTTTCCTACCTCTGATTTTGCTTAATAAAAACATAACATTCATCCTGAAAAGAGGAATGCTGAATGTGCTGCTTTCTGAACTGCAGGGGATGAGCTGGCACTGTCTGCATTCCTAGTGCTGGTGCTTCTGTGGCTGCACAGCTGGCGAAGGCTCTTCGAGTGCCTCTATGTCAGCGTCTTTTCCAGCAGCGTGATTCACGTCGTGCAGTACTGTTATGGGTTTGCCTACTATGTCCTCGTCGGCTTAACGGTGCTCAGCCAGGTGCCCATGGATGGCAGGAATGGTGAGTGGTCCCTGCGGGCTGTCATCTGAGTCACGGGGGGCAGGAGGTACTCTTCAGGTGAAGCGGTCCGCTGAGCTGTGGGCAAGTTTGAAAGTAGACCTGCCCAACCTGTCACGCCTTCACTGAAGATGGTTCGGTGCCAGGCATTCCGGAGGGCCGGTTTAAGGGCGGCGAAGTGGGATGTGAGGTTTCCCTCAATGGGAGTGAAGTTGGAGAACTCATGTGGAGTGAATCTGGAGAGAAAGAGGAGTGTGGCCAAGAGTTGAAGGGGAAGGGTCAAGTCAAGGAGCATGTATACAGGGCCCAGGGACAAGGACAGCAGGGTGGGGCCTTCAGTGTGGGAGAGGCGGGTGGAGTGGGCTGGGCAGGGGAGAGCCATGGGGGAAAATAGGGACAACTGTAACTGAACAATAATAAAAATATTTTTAATTAAAAAACTAAAAATAAAGCCAACTTCATAGAAAAAATAGAATGCTAGTTGCCAGGTGCTGGAGGAAAATAGGTTACTGTAGGTCACAGAATGCAAATTTTCAGTTATAAAGAGTAAGTTCTAAGGATCTGATGTAGAGCATGGTGACTCTAATTAATCATCTGATGTTGTACGCTTGACAGTTCCCGAATAGCTCAGCGTTTTCACCCCACACTTAAAGTTAACTGTGATGTGGATTGTTAATTATGTTAATCTTGGTAATCATTCTACAATGTATATGTATATCAGATCATATCAAACACTGTGTATTTGATATACATGATTATATGTGTCAGTTATTTCCAATGGTTCCTCAATAGAGTTTTTTGAAAAAAAAAATAAATAACCTTATAAAATTTAGAAAAAGAGCTGGACAGGAAGCAGGGGACACCCGAGAACAGGAGGAATGATCAGCAAAGAAGTTGCTCCCCCAAAGCCTCAGGCATCCTGGGATATTGAACGGAAGGGTCAGGGGTGAGGCCAGGGAAGGAGAAGGTGGGGTGTGGGGTTTAATCAGAAAAGCAGAGGAGGAGCGGGTGGCCTGGACCCCTCGTGGATGGTTGTGATTTGCAGAGGGAGTAGGGAGCCAGTTTGCCTCCATTGAGGTTTTCTGGTTGTTACCTTCACTCAAAGCTTTTCCTAAGGGAGGCTGCCCAAGGGGGAGGACAGACCAGCATGGTGGTCAATCAGAATGGTGAGCTCTCACTAACCAGGAAGAGGGAACCAAGGTCGTGACTTTTGTTGATGAGGAGGAAATGAAGTTGGGTTTTTTTTTTTGGTGTGGGGATGTGAATATCTAACATATATGACTATCATTTTTGTAAAAGCAGTAAATGCTTACTATAAAGAATGAAATTATTTTGGGCAGTGGAAATGAGTTCTTAGTGCTGAGGTTAACTTGACCTTGCAGCCTTGGTCTCCATCAGACCAGACACTGTGGGTAGATGATCTTTCCTGACTGTTTCCGCTCAGTTCGAGGCTTCAGTGTTCATCCCAGTAAACTGAGACCAAAATCGGGGTATTTTCCGTCCTCAGTGGGTGAGCTGTCCCCTCGGTTTGACGTCAGGGTCAGGGTGCCCCTCTTCCTCGCTGTGGTACACCCCAAGGCCTCTGAGGCCTCAGGAGGGATTTTCAAGTCCATGTTATCAATGGTATTTCTCAATTCACCAATCATTTGTTGGCTGCAGCTGCTCAGCTAGCATCTCTCCATTTAAATCCTCTGAACCTGATCAGATCAGCTTTTCCTCCCTGAGCTTTCTGCTGTGACATTCACAGGCGGCCCAGCGTCATGATTTGGGCTGCAACCCTGGGGAACAGCGTGGGTTTCCACCCCAAGGAACTTGCCTATGCACTATGCACTTCGGTGCCTCACCGGCTCTCAGTCCATTAGTTCCCACTGGCACTGCTCTCTCTCCTTTGCCCTCCCTCCTGTGTAACTAGCAAAGAAAAGGCAGACTCAGCACAGAAATACTGTTCTAGACCCTCCTTCCTGAAGCTGTCTTCTGCTTCACCTGTTTGTCCTTCAAGAGGTCATCTGTGGTCACTGGGGACAATACAGGGAGAGCTGGTTTCAGGAATTCATTGAGAGAATACCCGGGGGGACATTTGCCAGCTGCAGCGTCTCATAGAAAGGGGCTTGGGGTCAGGTGGGCCCGAGCCCGAAGTCCGGTTCATTTAACCTCTGTGAGCCTCGGAGCCCTCACCTGTAGTCAGGGATGCACACTGATATCAGAGGGTTCTTGTGAAAGTGAGAAGAGAGGACATCTGAATGACCTGGATCTTCGCATCTGGTCGTGTGCCTAAAGGATCTCCCTTAGCCACTCTCCCTCTCTGTGGCACTGTCCTGTTGTGTTTCCTCCCCTCAGAGCGCCGCCTCTGCCTGGCGTTATCTGGGTGTTGATTTTTGCGCTCCAGTCTAGGGGCAGCTGCCACTGGAACGTGAGTGCATGGGAACTGGGGTCTTGCCTGATGTGTTCACTGCGTATGCCTCCTGCCTGCAGCAGGGCCAGGCCAGTGGGCGCTCGTTCAGTAACTGACCAGTGAGTGAGTCCTTAACTCCTACTCGGGTCAGACTCTCAGAAAGTGCGGGCCCTCCACGTGCTTCCCCTTCCTGCGGCACAATTCCAGCGCACTCTCACATGTCTTCTGTCCTCACAGGCGGTCTCTCCGCGTTCATAGCAGGGCACTGGGCGGAGGGATTGCCCAGAACCTCGCTTCAGCTCTTAATCCTGCAGTGCCTTGCTCTTAAGCTCTTTCAGTTTAAAACCCTATTTTTTCATATTCTGCTTACTTTTAACTTAGAAAAAAGATAACCTTTTATGTAAATGGCTAACCCTACTAAATATAGGAGACTGTAAATAGACTTTCTATAGAGCAAGGTTTTAAAGGAAATTAACACAGGTAGACTTTGGTGGACTCCATCAGCCATTGGCTGTCTTCAGCTGAATCCCGCTTCCAGGCACCACGTGGAAGAGCGTGGTCCCTGCTTCTCGTACCTGGATCCATTTTGTAGGGGCCGCTCTTGGCTCCAGCGCCTCAGACGGTCCCTGTTGTCAGTGGACAACTGTGCTTCATGAACCAAGTCCCTGACTAGCCTGACCGCTTCCTGCCGGTCATAGGGAAGTCCTCGATTTGCTTTTCCCAGGCCAGTTCTTAAAAGACCTACATTCTTCCCTTCTTCCAGATAGTTGGATAAGGAAAAGGAAGGTAATACTTTGAGGAGATCTTTTCCTACAGCGAAATCAGTCTGGCTAGGTTCTGTGTGATCAGAAAGGGACACTGTTTTGTTTCTCATCTTGGAGCTTACATGTCTCTTCTGTCTGAGAAGCCCCACCCTTAGCCTCCACATCCAAGGATTTTCCTTGGCTGGGGCCCATCAAGTCCTCATTCCGCCTTCAGGGTCTCCCTGATGACGGCTTAGGATAGTAGCTCAGGGAGAGGCTTCAGAAAGTGTTTTCCTGACCGTAGAATATAAGAAAGAAGGCGTAAGACCAGGCTTAGAAATAAAAGCGCAAAGCCATCTCACCGCACGAGAGTCAGAGACAGAGCTGAACCCTGTGCTTAAAGCATCTGAAGAAGGAGAAGAGAACACATCATTATGAAATTCTCTGCCCGGGGTCATTGGAGCTGCCCTGGCTGAGGAGTCAGTCTCCTTTGGTGTTCTTCCTCCTGGATGTGGGAAATTCTATCAGGATAATTCTGTAGTCCTGAGGAACAGAATAACTGAATAATTATGTTCTACTGACTGCATGATTTTTTAATTCTCCAAGCCTCCAAAATTTGGCAGCATCGACTAATGAGATAATCCTTGTTTCTGTAGCCCATTTGTTAGGGACGAACCTCTTGATGCAAGCTCGGTGGTTCCATGTCTTCGGGACAATGATGTTCATCTGGTCGTCTGTCCATCAGTACAAGTGCCATGTCATTCTCAGCAACCTCAGGAAAAGTAAAGCCGGTGAGACATCCTGCAGAGCCCCTGCATGTGGGTTTCAATCCTCAGAAGTTAGTTGTCCACGTTCCATCACTCTCTTCCTGCCTGCCTGCCCAAATTACTTGACTAATGTGCCAAATATTCATTTTTGGTGAGACACCTCTCTGGGTCTTGGTCTTCCCCTGTGTGAAATGAGAGCATTATACTCAAAGATCTCTCTGGCCCGACTAATCCTACTATTGGCGATTCTATTCTGTGCCCATATTCTGGGGCCTGGTTTGCACATACGTGTCTAACCAGTATGTGAGCACTAGTATGTCTGTGCTCCGTTAGTATAATTACAGGCAAAGGAGACAGCTTGACTTTTTAGTGAGCTTGTGTTGGCTTATCACAGGTACAGTTTGTACTAGGCTTTTTGAAATGTTAAAGATGGAATAGTATTTATTGAGTGCTTATTTTGTGCCAACCCCTATTCTGAGTGCTTTACATACAGCTTCACAGTACTCGTTGAGGTGGGTACAGCCTTATCTCCACTTTACATATGAGGAAACTGAGGCACAGAGAGGTTAAGCAAGTTGCATATAGAGCCAAGATTTGAACTTGCACAGTGGCACTCTGGAGCCTGAGCTGTTTTTTAAAGTTTGTATCAGTAAAGTGAACCTAAATTTTATGAGACACTGGATGTCATTAGTTTGGAGATCATTAGTTTACTATAAAAGAGATATGGAAATTACTAATATGGTGAGAGGTTTCAGAATTTCAGTGGAATGGGCAACTGCACGTGGTGCCATTTCTGTAGTGATTATTTCAGTCTCCGTACTTCCCGAGAATGTCGTCATCTCTAAATAAGAAACACTCCTGCCCTAGCCGGTGGCTCCATTGGCTGGAGCGCCGTCCCATATACCAAAAGGTGAGGGTTCAGTTCCCGTTCAGGGCACATGCCTGCCTAGGCTGCAGGGTGTGAACCTGAGGCAACACATCAGTGTTTGTCTCTCACACTGACGTTTCCCTCTCTGTCTCTGTTCCACTGTCTCTCTAAAATCAATAAAAGCATGTCCTGCAGTGAGGATTTTGAAAAAAAACTTTCCCAGTGACTGGTCGAATCTCTCCGCCTGTTCTGTTGGAGCCCAAACCAAAGGGTCTGAACAGAAGTGTTGCTTACGACACCTCCCCTTGAAATTCTCTGGAAGCACAGTGCCTCTTTCGATTGTAACTCCCACACCATTGCTTTCGACCCATACTCTGTCAAATGGGCCTTTCCAAACACCAGTCCTGCCATGGCGCTGCGGGCACTCTGCTCTCTCGCCCAGCCACGAGGGAGTCGGGCTGCTGGCCCAGCCCAGGCGTGCTCACGGCTGCCTCCTGCCCCTGTGGGGGGAGGTCAGGGGTTGGAGGGAAAAGCCCACCTCATTGGCCCAGGAGGCCTTTCTTCCCCTGGGCCTTGCACAAACCCCTGATAGGGTGACTGGGAGATGGAAGAAAAGAGGAGGCCTTTCTAGGCTGTTTGGATTCCGAGCTCCTAATTTGTATCTTGGAGGACTGGTGGCATGATGCGCTTTCCTCTAGTGCTTACTTACACCTGGTGGTGTGACCTAAGCATGTGGTTCTTCATGGGCAGCAGACAGTGGGAGCGTGCGGATTGGCAGTTTGCACGCAGGTCTGTCATACTGTCTTCCAAAGGAGACTCCTCACACACGAGTCGGGGGGTGATGGGCAGACTTTCTTCGTGCATCTTCACGTGTTCAGGAAGCTTTCTTTCTCCATGTCAGGAGCGGTCGTTCACTGCAACCACCGAATCCCTTTTGGAGACTGGTTCGAGTATGTCTCCTCCCCTCACTACCTGGCGGAGCTGATGATCTACATTTCCCTGGCCGTCATCTTTGGGCTCCACAACCTGACGTGGTGGCTGGTGGTGGCGTGTGTCTTCTTCAACCAGGCCCTGTCTGCCTTCCTCAGCCACAGGTTTTACAAAAGCAGGTTTGTCTCCTACCCGAAGCACAGGAGAGCTTACCTCCCGTTTCTGTTCTGAGATCACCTGGGCCCTGAAGAGGGAAAGCCGGGTGACAGGCTCGTTAACTTAAGGGCAACGCAGTCTAGAGACCAGAGAGCGGTTGCTGCAGAGCTGTTTGAAACTCGTTATTTTTACACCAAAGAGTCTCCCCTGAACGAGCAAAGCCATACCCTTCGAGAAAACGTAACTTCAAAGAACTACGTCTGGCAGACCTGGGAGTGTCGTGTCTGCTCTCCGAGATGCTGTGTGAAAGCAACCAGCTGCTGTAAACCAGGTGAGACTGCTCGGAGCCGCTCCAAAGCAGACTAACCAGAGTATGCACACGGCTTCGGACATATCCACACACACACAGAAGCAGAGATGAGACCCTCTGTGGCTCTGTGTCCATGAGGGGCAAGTGAACAGTGCTTCGTAATGAGGAATACAGTGGGTGTCAGTAACTGCTCCCTGTCCGTACAAACAGGATAGCTTTTTGAAAACAGCAATGCATAATTTTACACCCAAGGATGCAGAGAATAATGAGTTTGTTGGGGTTAATTTATACTTTCACATGTCACCACAAAGGTTTCTAGTTACGAAGCCACCACTACTCACTTCCACGCGTCTACCCCTCCTATCATAGCCCGACAGGAAGTCGTTTAATTCTTTTTTGACATGCCTTAAAAATGAAAGCATCTGAAATAAAGTATTTTTATGTTCATGAATCAAAAGCCTTCCCGAATGGAACTGACTTGCACTCTGGGTCAGGTGGTGCTGCAGCCTCGTTCGTACACAGTCGTCACATTGGACTCATGTCTGCCTGAGTTTGTCTGAACTGGTAGAATGAACCTGGTGCTACTTAGGAGTGAAGTAGCTTGTGTTAAACTGCTTAACTTAGTTATGTAGTTATGTATGTAGTTAACTAGTTATGTTTTAACTTAAAACAGCTTATGTTAAAACACCCATGATTAAATCAAAGGAAAATGAATGCATTGTGTGAAAAAATATGTATGTAAACTTGAAAAATAATTCTATAGCCCAAACACCCAGCAAAATTTCACATTCATCCAACATAAGATTTACTGGCTTATTGACTGAAGTGTTAACCTTTTTCCTGTTGTGCAGATACAACATTACAGTGTGCTGGGCACTGAAACACGGCTCTAATCTGTCCCTTGCTATGGGAGAAAGAATCTAATCACTAACCAGGTGGGTATCGAACACTCAGTCTAAGTGTGTCCTCCCCTCCCTCCCTTGGAGTAGCAACCTGAAGCTATTTAACTGAGATTCTCCTTACTCTAAATTTTAATATATGCATGTCTAAGCATATGGTAAAGTTTTTTTAACAAAGGGCTTTTAAAATTTATTTTTAAGAGAGGAAGGAAGAGGGAAACATCAATGTGCAAGAGAAACATAGCTGGCTGCCCCTCGCATACCCCCTACTGGGGACCTGGCCCGCAACCCAGGCACATGCCCTGGTTGGGAATCGAACCAGTGACCTTTCAGTTTGCAGGCTGATGGTCAATCCACTGAGCCACACCAGCCAGGGCTAAAGTTCTTATCATAACTCTGCTATAGCATTTTCCTTCCCATCAATCAAATACCACTTCAGTCAGTTGCTCAGTCTATTCAAATGAATGATGCATTTATTCATCATTTGATTTTCCATCTTCAGGACCAGGACACCAGATTCAAACTTTCTACACTGTAAATGTAAAGCACGTTGTAGTTTTGGTCTTAAATTCCACTGAAATGGCATAAATAATAATAGCAAATTACTTAGAGGAAATGTATTTTGCTTTAACATTATTTGCATTCTTCCTGATCAAACTGATATTTCATCTGCACTACTGACTGCATCGATTTCTTGAAAGTCACGAGCTTTGTGGGACGCACAGATAACCAAACTGCACTGAGTATAACAGGCAGGGACCATTCCTTCCTGAGGCTGAAAACTGAAACTGAATCAGAAATTCGGTCTCCCACATATCCAAGGTGAAGTGTTGGTAAAAATCAGCAAAACAAAAAAAGAGCAATAGCATGTACCAGTAAAGAGAAGACACGGGAGTTTAATTTAGGGATCAACGCATATTTTAAACTTGGAATTCTAAAATACAAAATGTTCCAACTATCTATTTTGTTCAGTCCTGACCTAGTGAGCCCTGTGAAGCGTAACCACATGGAAAGGTCCGGAAGGAAGGGAAACATCCCGGAAGCTCATTCACTGTGAAGTCTCAGGCTCCGCTGTGAATGGAACTGGAAGCAAACCTCAGGCCTTGGTTCTAAAGAGTTTATTTACCACACGTGCTCTGGTGAGGCCCTAGCAGAACACTCCCGACAAGCGAGGGCAAACTGGTGCCCAGGTTCAAGGCCCAGTTCTGTTTCTTGCACAGAGGAGAGCAGTGTTGATGTGAGAAAAGTGGTAGGCAAGTATTTACACACCTGCATACTTTTCTGATCTGGGACAAAGACGTTTCTCCTTTCATGCATGTCTGTCTGTGCTGACATGTCGCAAGGACAGTAGGGAAATTAAAGTGGCAAAATTAACAGTGTACGTTGATGATAACTTCTCAAACCACACAGAGAACTCACAAATGAAGGCAAAAAAGGACATAAAGGTGTCAAGAAATGCTTAGAAAATGAAAATTACTATGTTCCCAATCTAATGCTCATGCTTAGAAAGACGGCCCTCAGAGAACCAAGGGTTGGAGGTGGTTGACCCAACACCCAGCCCTGCCGGGCCCACAGCCCCCTCTTTTGCCCCCGGCCCTGGTGGTGAGCAGCCGTGGCCCCTGTGGACCCTAGGCTGTTTAAACAGGACCATGAGAGACTAGGACGATTCCACAGCAGGTGGAAAGGGAAAACCGAGACAGCCGAGCACAACGGCCAAACAATTTAGAGCCACACGCAGATGGTCACGAGGGCACCAGGCCCCAGTGCTGGGCAGGGGGCAAAGCTGGGAGACAGGGACCTCGCTCCCCCGGGAGCCTCCCCACCCCTGGCCTTTCCTCCCTGGAGACCACGTCTAAGCCTCAGCGTGTCCTAGATCCAGGCCCAGAGCAGCAGCAGAACCGGGTGGGCAACACCAGAGCCGACTGTGGTAACTGAAGACCCCTGGCCTAGATCTGACCTATCAGTGGAGACCATGACCCTGAAAGGGCACACCAGGAGAACCAGTGAATATTCTCCTGAAACCCCGCCCCCACCTTCTCTAGGTTCCCACCTGCAGGAGGAGGAGGAAAACCTCAGGCCAGAGGACCCAGAGCTTGGGCTCCCTCTGGGGGCAGCTGGCGCCAGTTCCTTCCCTTTCTCGTCCCCTCCCCTCACTTCCTTCTTCACAGGCACAGTCTCCTCAGCCCTGGGGCAGTGGGCCCCTGGAGGCTTGTCCCAGGGTGATCCCCTGAACCTGTCCCCAGGCCCCCTTCGCATCTGGCCCTGTGGGCCAGGCCCCTGTCTGGAAACACTGCCTCACACAACCACATCTGCTCCGCAGGGAGAAATCGGGGCTTCTGAGCTGAATGAGGAGAAGCTCCCCGTCCTTCTGTCTGAAGGATGGAAAAGACTTCAGATCCGCTGGGTCCCTGGTGGGTGGTGGGTGGGCCCAGCAGGCCCAGGCTATCTCTGTCCTGCCTGGGACCCTGCAGCAGATTTGCATCCTGTGCTCACAGAGCACGCCTCCGCCTCCTGGGCACGACCCTCCCGAGCCAGCCGCACAAGGGACTCAGTGGACAGCCTGGGTACTGGAACCCCATTCCTGGCAGAGATGGGGGAGGCAAGAACTGCCCCTCCCCAGGAGGTACTTTGAGGGTGTTGGTTTCCACCTAAAGGAGAAGAAACACAGTGACTGCCTGGGAAGGTGTCTGCGTGGAAATCACGAGATTCTTGTCTTTAGTGACAACTTTGCAGGAAAGATTAAGAACTGAGGATGGAGACCTGGGGTCTCCTTGACACGTTCTCACTGGGGAATGTGCTGGATCGCCCCAGCACGTAGGGCTGAGGGCATGGGAAACAGCTCTTCTTTCTGCTTCAGCCACAGAATTTATTGAATTCAATTCAGCAAATCTTTTGTCAGAGTATTAAGCAAGAAAATGTTATGAAATTCATTTCCTGGGAAATCAGTTTTTCTATTACCAAATTTGCTTTTTTCTTTATTCATGAAATTCTTATCAAGGAAAACTTGTTCATTTATTCTAGAAACTTAAATCCTTATTTTTTTTCTGTAAAATCTATCTCAGAATAATACTTATCTCCTAAGCCTCAAAGAAGTTCCACCACTAGCCAGAAAATGCCTATGAAAAGCTGAGAATCCATAGAATTAAGAAGAGTCCTGAAAAATAAGGATTACATTCAGTACTCTAGGTCTGAGTTACAACTGGTTTTTATATTCAGGCAGCAAGAGCAGTGGGTAGAAATCTCTGAGAGGGGGCACCTAGCGTGATGTGGGAAAGAGACACACTGTTTATTGCCTGATCCCGGCACCTGGTCCTCTCCCTCCCATCCTCTCCCCAGTCCTGCGTTACTGATTGCATTTACCCCTTGTACAGCCCCTTTGCCACCCCCTCCACACTGTGCTGCCCACTCGCACAGGTGCCTGGTTCTGTTGTGGGTTCAGCTGCAAGGTTCCTTCTACTCAGAGCACAAAGCCAATGGGACAGAGCAAAACTTGAGTGGAAGCTCATCGTTTTTCAAAAGCATTGCAGGTGGGTCTGTTTCTGTGTGCCCTGATGTAGAAATTGGGGCCCTGAGCGAATGCCACTATTACAATGAAGATGCAGATGCTGAGTAAGAGGAATCAGCTTAATTCTGTTCACTGCATGTGAGCTGTGTGACGTTCTCAGGCAGCAGGGAGAGAGACCGGTTTGGGAGGATTTCTTGCATCTTTGTCTTAGAGGACCCTACCAATGCTTTAATGTGTCTTTGTAGAAATGGTGGGTAATATTTTAATACATTTCTGTCCTTTATCCTTTTCTCTTTTACAGCTTCTTCTGGGCGGACCCGTTTAGTAGGAGGAGAAAAGCTTGCAGCCTGAACTTCAATGCATCTCCCCTTGATTGCCCGTCACCTTTCAAGCATGCGCTTCCCCCTGAACTCTGCCAAAAACCATAAAAAGATAAAATTATGTCATTCAGTTACGTATTTAAGAAAGTGGTCAGGTTCTTCACTCTCATCACAATTTTGTAAGTTCAAGACTTACCATATGTTTTGAAGATGACCCCATGATTTTTGTTTCGTGTGTTTCTCAGCTGGTGCAGAAATGTGAGTGACATTGTTGAGGACTTACGAACAATGCATTGAGCAGAGAGAGTTATGAATGTAACTTTCTTGTTCATCTGTTGACTTTTCTTTGATGATTGTCTCATGAGGGGAAGGCTGTCAACTCTGCCAGCCTCCCAGGCCCAGTGGCTATATTTCTGTTCTTTCAGGTAGTTTTGGATCCTTTGGACATACTTACAAACAAGAATTCCCAAGCAGGGACAAGTCCGATTTTCCTCTTCCATCTGATGCAGGTGTTCGAGGCTGTGAGCAGGCTACAGAGCAGTTGGCAAGGGAGGGTATGGTTTGTGCAGCAAGGCTGTGTTCTGTTGGGAAGAGTTTGAAGATCTGCTGGAGCATCAGATGGTGGAAACAGGTGCATTGTGTCTTCTGCATTGGAGTGATAGTCCCTGCTTTCCAACGCAATTTGCAGTCGTTTCTGTCACGTAGGCATGACTGAGGGGGCATAGTGTTCAACTGTCTCCAAAAATTAAAGATTCTCCGGTTGTCCCAGCTATGGACCCAAAGTATGTCCCCGCCAAGAGAGCAGGCAGTGAGGGAGCAGAGCATCACTCCTGCGCTATCCAGGAATATCAATGGACTGGGCCATGGAGAATTCCGGTCATTCAAGGGATGGTCACCAGGGGGTGTCACGGACACAATTAAGGCCAAGTTTCCTCCCCTTCTGCCTTCAAGCGCGATTCTCAGGCTGACCGCAAGAGGGCGCGCAGTTGGCCTTTCTGACCGTTGAGTTTGGGAAAGGCAGACTGAAACCTGGTTTTTCCGTGTGTTGGGCCTCAGGACAAAAACACCGTGGCCTCGTGGCCCCACGGAGCAATTGGGAGCTGCTTTAACAGTGAGCAGAACACCTTCCTCTGGTGGCCCTGCCTGCGGAACCCCGAGCTCTGCCTCGGTCTTGCGGGAGTCCTTTGCCTGAGGTACCAAGCACAGAACCTTGCCTTTTCTCCACTTTCCCCGAGTTTTCTGCTTTACTTTCGCACGAAAACCCTAGCAAAGCCATTTTTACATAGAATCCCTTTATTGAGGGCTTCGAAGCTGGGAATTAGAGCGTGTTTGGTTGTTTTTACAGATTCCGGGTGGTTCCTGCGCTAGATGCCCTGAGATTCAGAGAGGGGAACACAGAAGGGATGGGGTGCCCCTGGGTCATAGGGGGACGCTGCAGAAGTGAGTTGGGGTGTGGCCATGGGGGGCTCCAAACCCGGGAAGAGGCCCCTGTACAGTTTTATTGACTTTCATGGTGATTTTCTCAATATTACAGTGTTACACCAGTGGAGTCAAGTATAGGGAAACTCAAAAGTGGGAACATTAAAACAGCATTTGCTGCCCTGGCTGATGGGGCTCTGTGGGTTGGGTGCCTGGCTTGTTATGGATCAGGGCACACGCCTGGGTTTCCGGTGGCGTCGTGGGTTGGGGGCCAGCAAGGGGCAACCTAGTGATGTTTTTCTCAAACCCTTGATGTTTCTCCCCCTCTTTCTCCCTCCTTTCCCGTCTCTGTAAAAAAAAAAATAAATAAATAAAACCTTTTAAAAATATTTCTGTAAACCTTTAAAATATTAAAATATTTAATGTTAAATATAAATATAAAATTAAAAAATATTTTAACATTGAAAAGTCATTTGAACATCAATGTAAAATTTAAAAATTTTTAATTTTAACATCCAAACTTTTGAAAGTTAAAACAGCATGTATTAAACCTCAACTTCATTTAAACGGTATATTATTTATCCCCAAACAGGAATTTAATGTAATGTTACTTTTTTGGGTTTAATGGACACAAACACATTAGTAATTTCAAGATTACTTGTTTTTAACTGACAGTATTGCCATGTTACATGCGTTCTCATGACTCCATGACAATTGTGAATAATTTTTCTTTAACTTCGCATGACTGAAATGTCTTCACAGAACCCCACTTTGACTATATTGTTCAAAATAAAAATTAGTGTTGTGTCTAAGCAGCTGAGGATACTTAGCAGCTCACATCCTTTCACGTTCCTTTGGATGGAATTCTCTGGATGGAGTGAAACTTGCCCAAACCAGCGTTTGCGCCATGCCCTCTTCCTTCCCAAGCCTCTCAGGGACTTGCCAGTGCAAGGTTATTTCAGGTCTTTAGAATTTTGACCTTTTGTTCATCGTGCATGTTTTGGCACTAATTTTCATTTTGTTCCACACTGTTGTGAAAGTATTCTTTCTCTTCATTACTTAGGTCTGATGGCCTCTTCCATGCCCTGCTTGAGGGAAGAGCTCTGCTCCTAACCCAGGAAACGGCTCTGGAATGCGTGTGTGATCGTCAATGGCTGGAAATCTGGGAATGAATGTCTCCTTTCTCATCAGGCTCTCCCAACCCTGCCCTTTCTTTCCCTTCACCCTGGCCTTTATGACTTTGTGAACTTATTCTTTGCCTTAAAATAATATCACCAGAGGTAGTCTGAACCAGAGGACGAAACAAGGGATTGTTTAGAACATTTGTAATTGCCAGGACAGCCATTTTCGGTCAGATGACTTTCCTCCATGCTGGCTCTCTACAGTGTGCTGTAAGATTTCTCTCGTGAGTGGTCCAGGCACTGAGCTGCAGGTGGAAACTGGGGCCATGTTTCTTCCTTGGCCTATAGACAAGCCCCTCTCCTAGAGCTTCCATTTGCTGGGGACTCGACAGGTACCCCTGAGGGTGTCAGAGGAGCTGCGAGCAAAGCTTGTCATGGCTTGGTTTTGCTTGGGTCACACCAATGGCTGTGTGTCACATTAGCACTAATGACAGCTGTCATTCTCTCAACCTGCAATTTGCAACCTTTATTTAATGTTTGCAGCTTCCAGTGTGATGACTACAAAAAAACTGTCTCAGCTTTTTGGAAGAGGAAATGAAAATCTATCATTTAAATTCAGGAGCCACAGACAGATTCTGTCAGAAAGTGAAGCTTTCAACTGCCTTCGGATCCTCCCTTCACCGGTCAGAAGCACGGGCTGTGGGCAGTGCCGAGGGTGCCGGTGCCTCAGGGATCTGAGCCCGGCCTTGGTGTCTGCTCCCAGGGGAATTCTGGGAGTTCTGGGGGTGCTGGCTGAGGCCTCCTTAACTGACAGGAACCTGGGGGAAGTTGATCACAGAAAGGAAGACATGCTCCCAGCCCGGGAACCATGTCTTTTGGGAGACTAAGAACAGGTCAAGACTCATCTTCCAGCTAATGACTTCCAGCGTTCTGGGCCAAAGGTCACACTTCCGCATCAGCAATGACAGTGAAAACCCGCACCTGCCACACGCTTTCGCAGTGAGTGAGCTTCTGTCAGAAGGCTGAGGAATGCATGTGACTGTGAATATATGCAGTACGTCTGGGAGAATTCCATAAAATGCCCCAATCAAAAACTATACACCATTTGTCATTTAATTATATAGTCTAATATAATTTTACCTATTAACTCCTGAGACAGTACGAAAACGAGAAGATGATGAACTCTCCTCAACCATCCGTCCCATGGCTGCTGAGTGAACCCTCCCCTCACTCCCGCGTCCTGGTGCGTGTTGCCCACGTGGCCCTCACGTGGACATGGTGAAGGAAAGAGACTCGAGGAGGTCCATCAGCCTTTGGGGTGGGTGCTCTCTGGCTGAGCATCTGGACAAAATGCTCGCCTCTCTCTTTTCTCTTGGTTCTGGTAACCATTCCCGTCCTGACCGGGGGTTTGGAGTGGTGACGGAGCCCTGCTTTTAGGTCCTAAGCTGTTGTATTAGCCTTTGTAGCTTTTCACTCCCCAACTCGTTTTTTATTAACTTTCCTGCATAAAATTCTCCTCCAGTTGCCCAGATTTGAACCAGGCATGCTTCCTGCAAGGATCTTAACTAATAAATAACTGTGTTCAGTTCTCATTCACCATGGTCTGGCCCCCACCTCATTTCTGCAATAAGCTGTTCTTGTGAAGGGTTCTGAGACCCTCGTTCCCATTCCAGCAGCGTTTTCAGTCCTTTCGCCATTGGCCGGGCCTCTGCGTGCGGTGATGTTCCCCTGCTGACAGATTCAAGGGGACGACTGTCTCCTGTTGTCCTTACAGCTCCGGCCTCTCTTTCTTGGGCCCTCTCCCGTGTTTGAACTCGCAGCCCCTCTTGAAATGTTGTTGCTCCGTGGCCCCAGCTCAGCCCATCGTTGTGGTCACACGAACCATGAGACGGTCCTTTCTTTCACGCGGGGTCTTTGTGAGGAGTTGGGGAACTGAGGCACCTGAAGCTCTTCCCACAGCGCCTGCCAGAAACATGAAGGGCTCCAAAATGGTGCCTTCACACATGTTAAAGTTCGAGTTTCCAGGAAGATAGTAAGAACCCAGTTGACGTGAAATTACAGATCGGATCGAGATAGGAAGGATTTACAACGAAAGAGTTAGAAACTGTATCCATGACACTTGAAATTTCTCAGTCACCATGACCCTCCAAAAAGACCAAGAAGCAATGGGACAGAAATTCTTCCCAGAGAGACCGTGAGGACAGGGAGTTTAAACGCTGCCTGAGGAACTGCCTTCTGACTTGAAGAAAAGTCGTCCCACAGCCGGGAGACTGTGCACACCTGGGCTGGGGCCCAGAAACCCAGCTCCAGAGTTCAATCCATGTTCAGGGTGTGTTGTCTCAAGATGCTGTGGTGGCTCCCCCTTTAAATAATTCTCCTTTTTGAGGTTTTTTAACAATTTGAGAGAAAAGAATAATTCCAATGAAAAGTCACCAAACAGCTTAAACATTTGTAGATGGTGGTTTCCATGCCCCTCCCCGACGGGAGTCCTTTGTCTCTGGAGACCAGCTCTCTCCTTCCTGCCCTCCCCCCTCAGCCTGTGCAGGCGCACTGACACCCGCCGGAGCCCCCTCAGGGCCAGGGCAGTGGTGTGCTCCTGACTGCACACCAGGTCGGGGAGCCAAGGCCTCCGCCCTCTGCCGGAAGCTCCTTCCTTCCCGCTGTTGTGGGTGCAGATTGTCCCGTCGTACCTCAGGCCTTCACTGTGAGCAGACGTTCAGAGATTACTCCATCAAGACTTTTAGGAACAAGAATGAGGAGGCAGACAAGCAGGAGAAATACGTTCTCTTAAGCAATGAGTGGGACTTGGAGGACTTTGACAAAAGTCAATTTCATCAACGCACCGAACTCCCCAAGGGTGAGTTTCAGGGTCTGTGGGTACTTTTCACAGAAGCCATCCACTTTACAGGTGTGAGTGTGTGTGTGTCCACGGGGTAAGTGGGCACTCAGAAATTCACCTGTAGACTCGTAAACACGTGCCAGAAGTAAAACAACTGAAGCCTGTCGCCACCTTTTGTGAGCTTATTTTGCAAATTTTCTTCGTCTGATGATGAAACCAGCACAGGCCAGCTCTCTTCTCCCCCTGGGACCGCGTTCCACAGGCTTTCGTGTTGCTCTGTGTCTGGAAAACCCCTTCACGCCTCTTGAAGCTGTGTTTTCTCGTTAAAATAAAACACACAGCGACCGCTTCAGCGGGGGATCGTCAGAGCACAGGTGAGGGGCCGCAGGAGCGTGCAGAGCCGTGGCGGGCGTCCCTGTCACTTCAGTGTTAGACGACTTGGCAACAAGAGATGGCAGATTTGTCATCTGTAAATGGGTGAAAAATACGTGGCCAAATAAAACCCCAGCAAAAGGGGCCCTTTTCATTTACTCAGATTTCTAATGAGGTTATAAATATATTTAAAATCGCAGGAAAAGAAATAAAAATCCTTGGGCCAGAGAGTTAAGGTCACAGCGCAGGCCTAGGGGACCAGCCCTCATGCCCTCACACTTCCCCGGTCCATCGCGCTGTCTGTCTGTCTGTCTGTCCCCCTGGCCACACTCCCCTGAAGGCGCTGAGGTGCACCTCGATGGTTTCTCCCTCCAAAGAGTGATGGTGGTGACAGCCAGGCCCTCACTGTGAACTAGTGTAGGTGCCGAAAAGGGGCCTGAAATGCTTCTCAGGGGCCGTGCCCACAGACTCCTGCTCCCAACCAGGAAGCCGCGATCACTGGCGTTGTCCAGGTGAGGGACTGGAGGCTGGAGGACACCGGCTTGCCAAGGGTGATGCGGAGCAGGGCCGACAGGGTCCCAGTGTGTCAGCAGCTGGGCGGCAGGTGGCATGTGCAGTCAGAGGGCAGGTTTCCATGGCTCCACAGGATGAACGACTCCAGCGAGAGGATGAGGGAGGAGGTGACAGGGAGAGCTCCAGGTGCCAGGCTCTCCAGTGGCCTTTTCCACGGGGAATGTCCCTGGGTGCCCCCCCCATACACACACCACTCCTCAGTGCAGTTGAGCTGCCTATTCCTGGGGCAAGAATCACATTCATGACCCGGACAGTTTCTTCTGGCTACTCGATGGTGTATCAGTTTTCCTCTTAAATGAGAGAGAGAGAGAGACAGAGATGGGAAATCTCTCCAAACTCAACAAAACCAAGCATCCCTGGGCGGGCGGCTCTATCCTGTGCAGCAGGGAGCAAGCCAGATGCTTGCAGTGGGGTCATTCATGAATGAAAATGTGCTCACATTTAGGGGACTGTTTCACAGGTGGAACGCCTTTCTCGCTGGCCAGGGCCATGCCACCTGATCCTCCTTCATCCTGAGCACCTCTCCCTGGCACCTGCTCTGAGCTGTGCCCCAAGAGCGTCACCTGTCCCAGGAGCGGGAGCAGCGAGGACAGACCAGACAGAGGGGTTGCTCTCGACAGCACACGAAGGCACCCCTTCAGGGAGCGTGATGCGTCTTGAGTTGCACCTGCTCCTGCAGCTAAAGCAGGTCCCTGTTGGGAACTGCCCTGACTGGTATCAGGCTGAAACCCCCGCCTAGCTAAGGCTAAGGGAACGCCCTTGGAACTGTAAGCCAGCAAGGAGACAAAAGCTTATCTTCCTGGCAGGAATGCTGCTTCTGCTGCTTTATTCATAACTGAACCCCCAAAAAGCTTGGTCGGTTAGCCAAAGACGGGTAAGATTCCCCACGGGGGAACGACCTAAGCCAGGCACGATCACTTTTGGGAGGCCCCCCAAAAGAAGGACTTGGGGGGCTGCAGCAAAAGGGGGGTGATGGACCCTCGCTCCTCGGCTTTGACATAGCCTGAGTTCTCAGCGTCTGGGAGAAAATCTCCTTATCTCTTGGTTACCTAGTTCCCTTGCTCCACCTAAGCCTGAAACAATGACAGGGTGGTGCAGCTCGGTACTGAGAAGTGCGGATTTCCCGGGGTGATCAGGCCTAAGAAAGAATATGTAAATTACTGTGAAACCTTCTTTGTTTAGAATGCTCTCAGTTGAATGAGAAGGGTCTTAGGAGGAAGTTAGTTTGTTCCTCAGTCTTACAGCTCTTTGACCCCCCAACTCAATAGACAGGCAGAGTTCTTTGTTTTCTATAGTTCCTTACTTCCCCCTAATGAGTACTGTACTTTACCTGAATTATTATGCAAAATGAGCCTAATAAAAGCAGGTATGGACGGTAAATCAGCGCGCTCCCCACTAGGGGGGGTGGCCATTTCGTCCCCTACTTCCCCACAGAAACTAGTCTGTCTCTGTGCATGTGTTGTTTTTTCTCGCGTGTTTTGTCGAGCCATCCACAGCGTTCCGTGGTCACTGCTGGCCGGTGACCCACGCGCAACAGGTCCCCGCACACACTCGGTGCAGGTGGCTTCTGAGGTTGGCTTTCCCCATCCCTGTTGCCGTGACAGTAACTATCATGTCCCCATATGTGCCCTCTCCCAGCTGCCCGATGGGTAATCCTCAGGAGGCTTCCTCCTCCACCCTGAGAGTGAGCTGCGGGCATCATCGCCTGCTGTGGTCACTGGCCATGCTGGACCCACAGGCGGGCCTCGGCCCCGGTCCAGCCCGCTGGAACTCTTCAAAAGAAAGTCCGAACATAAATGTGATTTCTCATGGCTCCATGAAATGTGCCAATTTGATCATCATACTCTATCAACTGAAATAAAGTTATGAATTGAAAATGTTGCATATTGCTGCAAGGAGAACAGAGGTCTGAGAGTTCACTGTTAATAACTCATGAAATTTCCTACCTTTGGTTCCAATTCATCAGCTGCTCCCCATTTTACATAATGACTCAGCCATCTGTCCCTCGTCCTCATCCACAGGGCGCTATGGAAAGTTGTGTCACTGCGGCCTTGCAGAACATCCACACACCCAGAGAACTCTCTGGTGTTCTCCACGGCGAGGGGAGGAGGGAAGTGGATGAGGAAGAGACATGCAGGAAGGAGGGAGGGAGGGAGAACCGTGGCAGAAAGGAAGCGGCATCTCAGAAATATGGCAAACATGATTTCACTGTCTCTGTTTTCCTTTGAGCAGCACCTGGTGATGCGGCCAGCGAGCAGACGGACAGCACAGTCACCGCAGGAGGGAGCCGGGGTGCCCGCACTCAGAGGCGGCCCAGCAGGGAGGACAGACTCTGCATCCAAGTCCAAACCCGTGTTCAGAGCAGCCGGAAGGGAGAGGACGTGGCCCAGGAGAGGGGGCTCCGTGTGGAAGGTGTGGGCCCTTCACCAGCCAGTGGCTCTGAACTGAGGGCGGTCGTGCTGGAGGACGCACGCAGGGAAGCCAGCTGGCACCTTCTCAGTTGCTATTTCAGTTCTCCTCCCCCCACTACTTAGAAGCATGAAAGTCCAATTCATTCTTCCCCTGCTGGTTTTTGCCATTTTTCATTTGGAAGAAAAGGAATTTCTTTCCCTCCCTGGCATGTTGGATGGACCCGGAACCCCGGCGAATCCCGAGGTGCCTCCCCATGCCGGGCCGGGTGCTGACGGCTCTCACCAGTGCCGTGTGCCTGCAGGATCAAGAGCTGATCTCGGCCAGTTCTAGCTCAGAGCTGACACACTTGGCCCAATCCAATCTGCGTTTTGTGAGAGTTGGTTGTGTGTCATTCAATGACAAATTTTAAATCCCTCCGACGTGCCAATACTGTGAGAATTAAGGGATCCTCAGATACATACTTTTTGCTTCAGGTGCTTAGAGTCCAGTGGAAAAGAGAAG